GGGGGGGGGGGGGGGATTTTTCCCCCTTTATAGCACCCGGAGGATGCAGAAGGGACCGTGCAAGGGCTGAGCCAACCCGAACCGAAGCGCTTGGTTTTCTCTTTATTTTAATTTATTTCCCTCCCCCCCCTCCTCAGCTTTTATTCTTTCCTGGGGTGAATGGAAGGAGGTTTGGGCCAGCAGTGCTTTTTCCGGGGGAAAAGGAGGAATCGATGGAGGGATTTCTGCAGAGGGAGTCAGGATGGAGAAGGGGGGGTGGAAACCCCGGGGGGGGAATCAATTTTTGGGGAGAAGCCGTGAGGTCTTTCCATCTCCCGGCCTGTGGGACCGGGAACAAAAGGAGCTGGATGAGAGAGCCAGGAAAAAAAAAAAAAAATTATATTTTTTTTATAGAGAGATATTTTTTATTTTTTCCCCCTCCCCGCCGGTTTGGGGAAGGCTCTGGGATTAACCCTTTAGGGGCGGGATGCTCGTTCCTGCCTCGCCTTGGGAGGGTGAACTATTTTCCAAGGTGCCACCCCGACCCGGCGGCTGGTTTTTGGGGCTTCCCCTGCCCTTACCCAGCAGGTTCCCCCCCCCGGGGGAATAAACCCTGGGGCCCGGCGTCTCCCCTCCCCACCCAGAGCAAAACAGGTTTTGCATCATTTTCTCCGCGCTGGCGTCACCGCCACCACCCGGGGACACTTCGGGGGACGAGTGTGTGTCCGTCCCCCCCTGTCCCCCCCCCAACCCCGAGAACTTGGAAGGGGCTCGGGGTGTTTTTCTCCTCCCTGCCCACCCCTCGGAAAAACCCTTTTTGGTTGGGGAAGGGGAAGGAGGAGGAAGATGACGGGGGAGGAAGGACGGGCGAGGCTTGTTTCTTCCTTGGTTTGCAAAGGAGCGCGGGGGCGGCGTGTGGTCCCCACCCTGCCCCGGTTGGTGGCCCACGGGGGCCAACTGGTGGCCAAGCACTTGCTCCCCAGACCTGATGGACTGGTCCCCATGGCTCCGGGAGGGATGGGGACAGGGAGCCCCTAGAAACCAGGGTGAGCCCAGCGCCGGAGTGGGGCGCGGTGATTTGTGCCGGGGCTGTGCTCCCCGGTGAGTTTTCACCCCCCCGGAGAAGGGGAGGATTTTGGGGGTGTCACCGTTCTTCCCCGGTAGCACCGGCGTTCGGCGTGGAAACCCACCACCCTCACCCCAAGGGGTGCATGTGGGGCTGGCAGCTGAAGGGTTAAACACCCCTGCACCCCCCCCAGCCCCACACTGACAGCTCGCTCCTCTAATTCTCTGTAATTCGGGGTAATTTGGGCATCTCCCCGCGACTCCGAGCTGCCCATCCTTCCCCGTGAGCTGCTCCGGAGGCAGGAAGCTCTGCCCACAGCCTTCGCCTGCTTTGTCATAGTTTTTTCCAGCCAGTTTTGCTGTATTTTTAGTTTGCAGGAAGCTCCCCCCCCCTCCTCCCACCCACCCCCCCACCTCGGGTTATCAGCAAACTGATAAATCCTCTGCCACTGCCCCGGCTCCCTAAAATCCCCACCGCCGAGCGGGCAGAGAGTCACAGAGAGACCCCCATCCCTGGCCAAAACCCCATGGAGGGTCTTCACGGTGAGCCCAGACGCCGGGGTGATGGGCTCCCCGGGTCGGTGCAGTTGGCTCTCGAATGGGTTTTTGGTCTTTCCTTGGCAAACGGGGCCGGTTTTCGGGAGGCGGGTGCCGGAGCTCGGCGTTGCCAGGTTGATGGAGACGCCGGGTTATTCGAGGTGAAAGCAGCCCCCCCTGGCACCGGCGGAGCCAACTCGGCGGCTTCCTGCCGTGTGTGGTGGGGGGCGAAGGACAGCTGGGATGTTTGCTTTGGGCTCAGATCCAAAAAAAACCACACATCCCCCCCCACTTTTTTTTTTTTTTGCTCCTTGTGTCACTTCTTGGCCGATGTAAAGCACGTGGCCGGGGGGGCTGGGGATGCCCTCCCCGTCTCGTCCTCGGCGGGCGCTTGGAAATCCCAAAACACCCCGTGAGCAATCTCGAAAGCGGGTGGCGGGGGGAGACGTGGGTGGCACGGGGACGTCACGGTGGAAAGTGGCCACCTTCTGAGCCACGCTGCTCCTTCCGCAGCCAGGCAGAACCCCCCTGGTTTTGCTGGTGGCGATTATTTTTTTGCTGGTGGCCATTATTTTTTTGCTGGTGGCCATTATTTTTTCACGTGGCTCCTCGGCGCCTTCGTCCCCCGGGTGAGCAAAAGCGGTGGGGAAAGGGGGAATTAAAAAAATAAAGAGGTGTGTGGGGGGGAAAGGGGGCGGGTGATGTCGGCACGTGGATCGCTCGGCGGGGGATGCTGACGTCTCTCCTCTCTCCCTCCTCGCAGACAGGTTCGGTGGGCGACCCGGTTGATGGACCCAGCAGAAGCCAAATGGAAGAAGGGCCAATTAATTATGTGGAAGAAAGGAGGCTGAAGGAGGGCAGCGGGCTGAGCCTGGCGAATGGGGGCCGGGCGGAGGCGGGGGGCACGGCGCTGATGGAGCCGAGGGGCTGGTCGCCGGGCCAGCCGCCCGCCGCCGGCAAAGCCCACTTGGAAGACGTCAGGAACCTGGTGGCCTTTTCGGCGGTGGCCGAAGCCGTTTCCTCCTACCGCCTCCCGCCCCCGGGTTCGCCGTCGCTGCTGTACGAGAAGTTTGACTCGGAGATGAGCCGGGGGGGGCTGAGCGCGGCGGACGGCGTCCCGCGGGGGGAGGACCTGCACGCCCTCAAGGCTGCCCTGGCTTTGGCCAAACACGGCGTCAAACCCCCCAACTGCAACTGCGACGGCCCCGAGTGCCCCGACTACCTGGAATGGCTGGAGCAGAAGATCAAGACGGCTCTCGGTGAAGAGCCGGCGTCGCCGCGGCCCCGTGTCGCCGCCGCCGC